ATTATTAAAGTAAAAAAAAAGAAAAAAAGATTTGAGAGTAACCTGAATGCTTTGACTACCCGTGCCTCTGGCAAAAGACCCTGGAGAAACTCTGCGTTGGACGAGGACACTGGCGTAGATTTAGATCTGTTGGAGACGTCCACGATGATCTTTCCGGCTACGTCACTCCGGAACTCTCGGGCGAAGCTTTGGAAATTGGCCACCCTCAGAGCTAACACGATGACGTCACTTTCTTTCATGGCTTCACGCATCCCCACAACACGAGGGGTACCGAACGTGTCATCACGCGTCTTCTGAAGGTCCCGTGATTTTGGTCGTCTGCTTCCGAAAGTGACGTCATACTGCGATCTGAGAAGTCGCTTCCCGATGGCTTGACCAAAGTTTCCAGTGCCGAGAACAGACACGGACTGTTGAGGAGCTTGCGCTGTCATGTCGGGGAGGGTGGTGGGTGGATGGTAGGTGGATGGTGGGTGGATGATGGGTGGATGGTGGGAGGTTTACTGTGAGAACTTGCTGGGTGGAGACTTTCTTGTTTTCGGTTTAGAAGAAAGTAGTGACGAGATCACATTGGTCTTTCCTGAGGGGGGGGGGGTGGATAGATTGATAATAATTATTATTGTCTTATTATAAATAGATTGACTTTTTAATTTGAATAAAGAGACGAACGTTGAAGAAATATCGGCCATTTAGTAGATCTAAAGGAACAGCGTAAGAGAGCCAGACAGAAACAACAGAGAGAATTAGAAAGGAAAGAAACAGGACCTACCGAAGGTACCTTCCAACCACTCTCGAGCCAGAATAAAGGAAGCTTGAAGACAAGATGATGGTCAGACTATGTTGTTTAGTAATGATGATCTAAAGAGGGGAAAAGCCAACTGTGTTGGTACAAGCAGGGAAGTTAGTTTGGAGGAAAGAGAAGCGCATCGACGCCAAAAAAAACATATTTTCGTGGTTTTTCTGCCTGCCTCGCTTTTTCTCAGCACAAAATGGACGTTATTATGTCAATAGGATTCTCTTGACTCTTGAAGATCTGTGTGAACTCTTGTAGATGTTCATTGCGTGCTATCATAACGGTTTCAACTGCTTATTTCGTTATTTTCATTTACTTTGGGATAGAGTTTGGGGTGGGGGTGGGGGGTG